TGTCAGCAGGACTTGCTCTCAAGTCTCTAGAGACAGAAAGTTAAAATGCCAAACAATTATAACATAACGAGGGACAGACACTAAAATGCTCCCATTTATTTTAGGACAACTCTCACAATACTTGTTCTATAGGCCAACAGTGAGTCATTGTGCACTGCTCACCATGTGCTGCGAATAATTTGAGGGCAATGCTAAGACAGGATCAGATGAATCTTGAAACTGGCTGGTTAAAAAGAAATGGATATTGTAGGAAAGTGCTAAAAAGAACAAGCAGGTGAAGATACCAGACTTCTGCCAATACAGCAACAAAAACAGAACGGTGTACTGCAAGAGCAGATATAATCATGCCACAGAGGAAAACAAAGCTTCTGCCACTCCACCCTGTACAGACTCCTACCAGTTTCTCAAAAGTTCATGGAAACAGGCAGAACTCAGGCATGGGAGCCAAGTGCTCAGCTGTAAGACCGTCGGAGCATCCTGCTTACCAAGCTCCCCATCCGGAGAAACCAATCGCCTGCAGGATCGTGAGAATAAACTGCGAGCCAAAGATGAAGAAAAAGGCCATAAAATTAAACGAGCTGTCCGACCTGTGAAGGAAGAGAGGAAGTTAGGGGGAGACTGGCACCTCGCGTTTCTTCACACTGGTGTTTGACCCCATCACGTATAAACCCTCAAACGTGCCATCTCAGAAGAGATCCCTCCACAGCTATGTACTTTGAAGGCAACTCCTCTTCCCCTGGCAGTGAAAGCACGCAGATCCATGAATCATTGGCGCCTAATCTCATCCAATAAGCCTGGCTCCTGCAATTGCTCTACCAAAGTAATTACATCTATGATGACACACGAGGAGAGGCAGTCTCCTGCAGAACAGAGGGTGCCTGAATCATTTCTCTGACCAAACACCTGAAGACAGCACAGCCCGACACCTCTGCAACTCAGCCACTGGCAAGGAAGCACAAGGGGGCCTGAACACTGGCAAGCAGAGTTTGCCCGTACGCTAAAGTGATCATTGGGCATGAGAATTCCAGCTGGGAATGTTCGTCATCATGCTTCTACGCCCACGCTTAATAATCCAGCACATAACAGGAGCCACAAGAGAAGCGGGTGGTACTCTGTCCGGGGAAATGCAGAAGCATGCTTTCGCATCTTTGCGGGCTCCACATCTCCAGGATGTACAGGCTGAGAGGGTCCTGAATATGTGAGGTCTGTTAATTTATGCAGGTATTACAGGCAGCATGAAAACGAGCCCAAACGAGAAGGCCGACCAGATACGTTCATGGTCTCTCCATCATGGGTGCACTGGGGCACAGCACTGTCTTGCCCAAGTTTTGGCTCTGCCACAGAACTCCAGCAGAACATCTTCATCCCATTAAACCAACTACATAGGCAAGCCAGCCTTTCACCGTAAGCCCAGGCACATCTAAAACTCCCCAAACTATCATTTTTAATGACACAAATGATTCCCATTCTCTCAGGAACTCAAAGGGCCCAGAACAGATTTACAAAAAACACTTCAGTTGCTTACAAGGCATCTTGGTGCAAGGGGGAGTTTACAAAAGAGCTCTGGTCCAGCTCCTGCTCAAACCCTGAAACTATTTTAATGTTTAATATTTAATTATTATTATAATGTCTAGCCTCTAATGCCTAAAGAGGAGATGGGGGAGGCAGGGGCCCAGGCTCTGGAGAGGTCAATGCTGTGGACTCTGGCTCGTCTGAGAGAAGTGGAAAAGCCTCCAGCCAGGCCCCTGCCGCTCTGAGCCCCGTCTGTTGGTGAGGTTACCTTTCATCTTTCAAGAGATGGCCACAGAGATGCTGTGAAAGAAATTTGCCATCCCTGTGAGCATCCTCACGATCCCACCCTTCCGATATCACCCCAGAGCACAGCAATGTGAAAGAAATACTTTAAACATGGACTGTTCACAGCAGTGCCTATCATAATCCAATTAACAAGGATTAGGCTCGAAGCTGAGCCTTCAAACAGACTCTTGCAACTACAACCTGAAAGGGCTGGTGGAGTCTTCATTTGAAAGGATCTGTGGGAATTAGTGAGGATACACAGAAAAGGTGATTTCTGATCCAGCTTTCTGGTGCAGATTTTCAACAGCTTTGCCCTAGCGCCAAAGCTCTGCAGCTAATTTAATTTTGGATGCAGATGTATGACGAAGGTTTTACGAAAGCATCTTCGCAGTACGATGCCAATATTGAAGGGTTGCCTCTTCCCAGAACAAGCATAGTAAGTGGGTCTGACCTCACTTTCTCTAATCACGACTAGCCACGATCCCACAAGGAACAGCGCTGCCCCACTGCAGTGTTTTTCAAGCCTCTTCTACAACCGATGTCAAAGTCAACGATCTCTGGGCTTGCCGATTGGTCCCTAGGGCTTATTCTTTTTTTAACTTTAGAAGCCTTTACACAGAGTAACCTCAGGGACCTTCCAGTATTCGATTGCATAAACACATACAAACAACATTAAAGAAATAATTAGAAACGGTCCTTGCGAAGCCCAGAGAAGGTCAACGAGGAGGAGTAATTTTTCCCAGACTTCAGAATGGAAACTGCTCTTTGAACTGAGCTCCAGCCAGCACTCGCAGGCCCTCGGGCTTCTGAACTAGGGGTGGAGACAAACCCCCAGCCCCAGAAGGCAAGAGTTAAGAGCTAGTAAACTTCCAGATGAGTCCAACCCAGCAGCCTTCCGTTTCCATCAGAAGAAATCCTCCCCTGTACTCCATGATGTAGTCACCAATGTTTTAAGCACCACCGGTGCATTAACTGCCCGGTGTTGTTAGTAAACAAACCATAAATTCAGAAGAGCATTTAAACAACTAAATGCTAACCGGATGGGACCCCACCTGCCAACTCCCATTTCTGTCAGCTGCTTTTGCTGTTATCTAAACCAACTCATCACAGAATCTGGTGAATCATCAAAATCCAGAGTATTCTGGTAACAGGGAACCAGAAGGAACTTCACCTTCCGAGTCCAAATCCCTGACTGGTGGGGGGGGGTCTGCTGGTGACCCGCAGTGTGACACCGGGCCGGGCAGGTCCCTCCCCTCCTCTGTGCCTCCTCTCCCTGCGTCAGGCTGGAAAATGCTGGGGACCTTCACAGCTCCAACAAGCCTTGTGCATCAATGTCTGAATAATGCCTCATGAGCCACAGCCAGCGTGAGCAAAATGCAAATGATTATTAATTAAAGTGAAAATGTAGGATGACTTTAAATATTTGCGGAGTTTCAGAAGGACTCGCCCCAGGGAACTGCTTTTATCTAAAAAGCAAAGCAGCCAAGCTCTCAAGTATCTAGAGACAAAAACCAGAAGAGTTCTCAAAAACTAACAACTTAATAGTTTTCCATCAAAACAAGCCTCAATGAAGCTTTACCAAATTCTTATCTATCTTAATGCTATACTGATAGCAGGGTGCTGCTAAGCTTGAGATATTTAAGCAAAATATGAATTTCATCCTCATCAAACTGGCAAACTACTCGCTGCTGCTCACCTCCAGTCCGAGGCAGGTGACCCTCAGTCCTACATCTGGTATTTAAAAGCAGCCGCATTCTTCTTCATTTCAAAAGTAAACAAAACATTCAGACATCAAGTCCTTAATCTTCATCCCAGACAGGGAGATCGCCATAGGAGAACTCCCCAGTAACAACACATCTCTCTCCAAGAGGAAACCGAAACAAAACCGCCTCATGGGCTCCTACTCACCGAAAGGCTTTGTACGCAGGTCGGAACCAGCAGACGTAGCCGCAGGGACTGAAGAGGATAAGCCAGAGGATGGCCAAACCAAAATTGACCCCATAGCCTCCTCCGATCCACCACGCCAGGCACGCAACTATATTCACTACTAGGGTGATGCAGTAAACTGTAGAGAGGGCAGAGGAAAGAATGTGAGATTGTGCAGTTTCATGTCTTCAGACAAAAAGGAAACAAACACCCGGTATTCTAATAGTCCCCGCTGCAGTGGGAATCTCAAGCCCGATAACGCAGCTGCTCCAAGCGAGCCGCAGGTTCCTGCGTGACCCCAGGAGCCAGCAGCAGAGTCACATCCATCTCCAGGGGCAGTGCTGCAGCAGAGGGATGAGGAAACTCTTTTGGGACCTGCCAAAGGATGGAGAACTGGGTAGCAACCGGTGTGACCAATACAAGACTCAGGCCAGTATTATTACGAATTACAAGCAAGGTTCAATTCCCAGTTGTAGCAAAACCCCTTTATGAGAGGAGAGCGGTGTAAAGCACTGCCCTGCATCCAGCCTCAATGCGACTTTGGTCTCTGTGCTTGCTGAGGCTGCCTCAGGAGCTATTAGAGTGCCAGCACAGTGCCTTGCGGGCTCTCTTTCTGCTTCCCTGGGCCTCTGAGGAAGCCTGGAAGTTAGCTTCAGGGCTTATAAGTGCTGCCTCGAGTGAGGGGATAAACAAACTCCAATCAGGCTGAGAACACAGGACCGTAGGGGTGGCTTAAAGGCCTTTTCACATCCCTGTTCCTGCCACTTGGATAAAAAGGAAGAGTTGACAACAGCCCCCAGACACACCAGTGCTGCGCTAAGTAGGCGTGCATGAAGCGATGCTGCTCCCCCCTTTCCCTGAAGCTCAACGTCACCGCAAAGGGGGGCTGCACACTTCCCCGCTTCCACAGGCTGAGCTCAGTCCCCATGCCAGGGGCTCCCCGCTTTCCTCCAGGCACTCCCCTCAATACTCCGGGGACTCCCTGCAGCTGTCCCTGCAGCCCCTCAGGCTCTGCCAGCCTCGAAGAGGCTTAGCCCAATTACAAGCTCCTGTTTGGGAAAGCAGGTGATAACTCTTAAAAAAACTTCGCAGTAACCTGTATCGATTAGCACGGATAAAGAGAAGGCAGAGGGTCCAAACACAAAAGACCCTTCGGTACCACCTGGTGATGAGCTCACCGTAACACTTTGGGCCCTGCCTTCATTTATTCCATCAAAATGAAATCCCTGAATTTCTCTTTACCCATGTAAGCGAATATGCCCTGCCCGTTCCTCGCTTCACTACACGCGGTGGCTCTGCAGCATGCCTGCACATCGCTGGCTTCGTCCTCTGATGCCAGTCTGGCCTCTCCTTCTGCCCCTTCTCTTTCCTCCTCTTGGCACAGACCCACCTGCCTTCAGGCAGCCCGGGGGCTGCTAAACAGCTACAAAGTTTTGTGGTCGTAAAATAATATTGACAACACAGTTGGGAGAATCTAGCGTGGAAAGCATCCGAACCCAGCTGCTGCTTCTGACATGCAAATTACATGAGAGTTAAAATAAAACATTGTTTTACTAGAAAGAAAATTTCTTCTGAGTAGCTAACAGCAAGGCTTTATATGCAATGGTTTGGATGTATTTTAATATGGGGGGGGAAGTAAGAATTTTAATTATTTAAATTTCATTTATACAGTAATTAGCTGTACTTCTTCAAATTTTTATTTTCTGAAGACACTTATTCTCCAAAGCTTACTTAATTTTAAAAAAAAACAACCAAAAACCAAACCACACCAAGCCAAGAGCACCTATAAAGTTTTAAGGGACTTCTGGTTCTCCCTGGACCTCAGCTAGGAGTTTTTCCAGTAGTGGGAGCTCTGGTACAGGTTTCCCCAAATCACCATCCACCTTAATAAAATGTTCACATCCAATTAAAGTAATGAGCATTCAACCTTCTAGCAACAACTTTTGTGTTTCTATGTTTAACACCGGCTTTTTCTTGTGTACCGCCTTCCCTCCATACGCATCCCTCTCTCCATCCCATCCCAAAAAGTCGGGGAAACCCCAAAAGCAAGCGTGCTGCAGCTGGAAATTCAAACCCCCTGGTGAAAATGCCAGGCCTCCTCAGCCATGCGTAGACTAGTTGCCCAAATGGCTGGCACCTTTCCAGCCTGCCATTAACTCGAATGAGGGACGCTTTGTTTAGGAAGAGTCGCAGACAAAGGCAGCTTTACAGCACGCAACATTTAACCAGTTAGTCTGAAGGGACAAGCAGTTTCTTCAGGCAAGAAAATTACAGAGCTCATTTCAGCATCTCTAAATAACGAAAGAACAATGGAGTGATAGATTATGCTATTATTTATGCACACAAATCTCTCTCGTACACACATCCTATGCATCTGGAATAAAAGCCATGCCACCAAATGCATATCTGGCAGAAAACAAGCTTTCCTTCAGCGAGAAGGGTAAATAGGATGACAAGCATTTGGGGAAAAAAAGATAAGCAAGGCAAAAAGATTTTTAATCTTCCAAAGCATTCCCTGTGGTTCTCCAGGCCTGCCACACCATTTTTCATCCAATTTCATTCCTTGGAGAAGAATGGTCAATTTTCATTACTGGCTTTTGAATGGCTAAGCCAGACAACACGAGCCCAGAGCCAGGAGGTCTGTTCATCCAGAATAGCAGCAAATCACCAGCTGCGACCAAGAGGATCAGTGCCCTTCTCCAGCAGGACAGGGAACGTTTTGCAGGCTATGGATAGCTAAGGAAGAGACAGCGTGCGGCCAGAGGACACTGCTTCCACTGGGAAGGGAAATCTGTGGATGGCACAAACCAGGGGGAATTTTAGCCTTCCTACAGCGAGGTGAGGAGATGGTTAGCGAGCAAACAAGCCACGTTTATTTTCTTGCCTAAAATTCTCCTATTCATCTTAGTTTAGGGGAATTGGGAATTACTTGAAGAGGGCTATTTTGGCGAGTAAAACATCGCTTGATGTTATTAAAGGTATCATATGCAGTCTGCTTTTTTCCTCCTCAAATTTACTAACAGCACTGACACTCTCCTTTCTTCAACAGCAGCTCTGCAGCAAAGATTCAAGGCACAGCAGCTCACAATTTGGGCATAAAGTTATGTTACAGTATTCTAAGATGAATCATTGTTTTTCATCAACTAATTGCAGTCAAAACTTTAAAGCATATAAGTCATTGAGATCCGTGCAGTTTCACTACACACATACGTTTTCCCAGCACAGGTTTCTTATTCAACTTACAGATCCATACGTGGTAGATTCTCTTCACCAGAGACTGATAATCGATGGGAATCTCATCAGCAAAATTCTGGTAGAAACATGGTTTCAGAGGGATAAACTTGGGGAGCGGTGGGAAGTTATTCACTTTTTCTACAACACAGAACACAGAAATTAGCTGAATGCAGAAACATTCTCATATGGCTGAGCAAGTGTAATATCACAGAATCCCAGAATCCCAGACTGGGAGGGGATGGAAGGGCCCTCTGGAGATCACCCAGCCCACCCCCCTGCTCAAGCAGGCTCACCCAGAGCAGGGGGCACAGGACAGTGTCCAGGAGGGGGTTGAAGATCTCCAGAGAAGGAGACTCCACAGCCCCCCTGGGCAGCCTGGGCCAGGGCTCGGGCACCCTCACAGTCAACAAGTTCTTCCTCCCGTTCAACTGGAACCTCTTCTGCTTCAGATTGTGCCCATGGCCCCTTGTCCTGGTGCTGGGCACCACTGAGAAGAGTCTGGCTCCGTCCCCGTGACCCCCACCCTTGAGATATTTGTACGAGTTGATGAGATCCCCTCTCAGCCTTCTCTTCTCCAGGCTGAACAAGCCCAGCTCCCTCAGCCTTTCCTCATAGGGGAGATGCTCCAGTCCCCTCATCAGCTTTGTTGCCCTCCTCTGGGCTCTCTCCAGTAGTTCCTCATCCTTCTTGACCTGGGGAGCCCAGAACTGGACCCAGTGCTCCAGGTGGGGTCTCACCAGGGCAGAGTAGAGGGCACACCTTCCCAATACACACCCGTGGTCAAGGGGACTCACAAGAATCAAAAGAGAAAACCAGTGCCACCTCTGTCTATTCATGTTACTCAATGCACTGTGTTCATCCACACCCTGGTCACCAAACATCTTGTTCTCCTTCCTCAGCAGCAGACACAATATTTAAACTAGCACATGCAAGGCTTAGAGCGAGGAATAGAAATGAGCTAATAAGCAAGGCATGGAGTTGATACCTTTACACATCAGCGTAAAGTTGTGCGAAAGGCACTCAAGACAAAAACAACTTAAAAAAAGTTCCAGGATGAGGTTCCCCAGGAATGAAGGGAGAGGCCAGCAACACTGGGGGGCAACAGGCTGCACAGAGGTTTTTAGTTACAACCTCTCAGAAAACCAAAGCAAGAGGAAAGGCTGGCGATTGTCCAGACAAGCAGATTTAACTTCAGACGCAAGCTCTGGGTGGGCTTGCTGGCGCCTGGATCAGGCCTTAGGACCTGCAGTAGATGTGTCCCTGTGTCAGTGGGGAAGGCTGCCTTGGAAAGCATCTCTCAAACCGGAATTTAGTACTCGGATATCATTTCGTTCAGGGAAGTCAAATCAGATGTCAGGGATGATTTTGTTGTGACAAGACCCATGAATGTACCCTTTTTTCTTTAAAAGTCAAGTTTTTTCCTGTAAGGTGAAAACCCAGTAAAAAAAAAAAAAACCACCACCACACTTCGCATTCGGATACAATAAATCAGCAAATGCTAGCAAAAGCGATATGGAGAAGAAAACCTTACCTTGGGAAAAAATTATGTTTTAAAATCAAGTAATTACATGCCTAAATCCTCTGCATTTAATCTGCTCTCAGGTTGTAGACAGATGCACAGGTTTGTCTGTGCATATGTGTGTGCCTGGATGCATGTTTCTACATGTTTGGGAATGTTTGCTCTTGCCTTCCAGTGCTGATTCAAGTTTGATTCCAGGGCATTGTGACTAATTGTCTCTAGTCCACTTCAGCCCCAGTAAACAGAATTAAAAAAAAAAACAGAGGAAGAGATGAAGAATGTCCTGGGAAAACCTCCAAATGGCACAGGAGACAAGAGGAAGTGTCTGAACAAGAACTGTCAGCACAAGAGTTCCCCTTCTCTTGCCATTATCTCTGTGTGAGAAGACATTTTGCAGGAGCAGCGTCTTAGCTTCATTTGAAGGTTGGCAGGGAAGAGTCCAAAGCTGTAAGCCATGCTTTAGGGAAGAAAAGGCTTCATGCAAAGGAAAGGAGTATTTCACGCAGAAAATATGGTGAGGATAACACCCACTGTGAGTACATCAGAATTAAATATGGAATAATGTCTGAAGTTACCAGCCCAACTTGACTTTTCAGTAGACTTTTCCTTATAAAAACAAACATTAAGTCTTCCACGCCTCCTCACCCATCTCCTCTAAACACATTTTACTTTAATTCAGGTGCCCTCTAAAGCTGGTATCAGTTACTGGTTAACACCTACTGCTGACCCCATCACATGTAGTGCTGATGTTCCAGAGCTGCTTTCAAAGTCCGTAGGAATTTGGACTTCTTAGTGCCCATTTTTCTGTTTGCTATAAACACCCAATGGGCTTTCTCCTGGACCGTCTGTCTGAGCTGCCTACAAAAGGGTATAATGATGCCAGATCAAAAGAAAGGAAGGGGGCACAGCTTTTAAAGCTAAAGAGACAGCTCTCTGGGGAAGTCAGTAACACCAAGATTAACCAATGACAGTAAAAGCAGATTCTCTAACAAGCTCTTTTTTTTTCTGAGGGATATGGAAAATTTTGTTCTGTCCCTCTACAACAGCTGAAGCTGCAGCCAGTTACTTTGGTTCTGCTCTCTTCCATTTTCTCTCTCCTACAGTAGAGCCGCTGCCAGCCTCTAGTGTGGAAGTTCCCAAATGGTAGGGCCAAAACCAACCGGCCTGCTGGGCACCAGCCACTGCAGTTTGTATTTTTTCAAGCTAACAAAACGCTCCAAGTACTTCCACAGTTGTTTGCTAGGTACACAAAGATCAGGATTACACCTCTCCCCTGTCAATTCCCAGCTGCAAGCAGCCAGATGACCACTTCTTCCCACCCAGAGTTTTCAACTGTTCTGGGTTACTTCCAAGAATACAAAAAAAAGAAATCAGATTAAAATATCCCCTTTCGTGTCTGACTGCATGGCTTGGAGTGCTACAGCACTCCCAGCAAGGCTGGGATCAACATGTTAGATCAGCAAGCACAACCTGTGCTTTCATAATCAAATTGTATTAGCAATGAAGAGCAGCAAGTCCCGGTCTTTCTCTTATGTTAAAAAAGTTGGGAGGAATTTTGTTACTAATATCACTACAAGTAAAATTAAGATGTATTAGTATCAATAGCACAGCTAGAAATGCTGTGAAAAGCTGTTTAGCCTCTGTAAGGAAGGAATTATTCTCATGGGTTTTTTTGTGAATAAATTCCATCCTCATAAAACTTTCAGACAAGTCACAGCCGAGCCTTTATTGCTAGAGCAGTAACCTCAGCTGACAGATCTACAGGGGATACAGCGTAAAAGTGAATGTGACCAAGGCAAGAAAGGAGAAGTAGCTGAAGAGCTTTAGGGATCGCTAAAATCTCAGGAAGGGACGCATGTCACATACCTGATGCATTACAGCCACCACGGCATATTGAAAGACATTCTCTGAAAGCGTTCTTCACCCTACATTGCCATATTTTGAGGGGCTCTTACCTGCCATTTCTATTAGGAGTGTTCCCTGGTGAAGTTTCAGACAGACAGCAACAGATCTATTGGAGAAAGAAAATCAGATCAGCACATGTCACTAACCAGCACCCGAAGAATCTCCTGGAATCAGGAGTATCTCTGATAGCGTTTGACAGACCACGAGCCCAGGGTTTCCCACTACAAACTGCTTGTCTCCAACTGCCCAAAGTAGGCACGCTGGGACCTTACAGAAAGGATCACAATTTCTCCACCTGGTAGCATCTCATTCAGCACAACCCCGCTGTCAACCACTTTTAAGGCTTACAGCAAACAAATGTGCTCTTAGCAGTACCTGGCAAAGGCTGGAGATGCACAGAGAGCCACTGCCAGAACATGTGTACCTTGTAGCTGCAGCCAGACAACAAGCTGAGACCGACAGCTCTGGTTGGGACCCAGCAAAGCACATGCATCAGAAGAGAAATTTGTACGAGCTCACCAGACTTAATGCCTCATTTAGGTGTTGAGATGTTTTGTTGGCTCCTGGCTCTCTGCAGACTTTCCCAACTGCTGAAACAAACAGATAATCGCTGTTAGCTGGGAAGTAAGCTACTGTTAAAAAAAAAAAAAAAATCAGCTGGTATACAAACCCCAACATCACCCATTATTTTAGTAATCCTGCACAACCCTTCTTAAAATGCAGATTCATTCTTCCTGTTACAGCCATTGAACAGGACCATAATTCTGGAAGAATCAAATCCTGCAAAGTTTACTCGTCGTCGGCCGTGTTGCTGATTTTGGCAGAACTGATCACACAGATGAAAGCCACAGAGAGATCTGTGCTGAGCTGTGATTCTACCCCTTCTTCGTTAAGGATAAAACTACCGCGTGCCCCTATCTGCAAATCCCAGAAAGGAAACACAGAATACACCACAAAACAACCCTCCATACCAGCACTGCAGGGTCTGATAAGAGTTATCAAGAGTGAAGGAAGTCTAGACTAAAAACTGCCCCTATAAAAACACAACAACCACATGCTGCTGCTGCTGGCACCGACAGCAACCGCAGCGCCGAGGTCAGAATAGCTGCGTTGTACCCAAAGCCCTCGGGATTTACAGCAGCTCGTTTCCCTTTTCTGCACCTCTGTGCTGTCCTCCTGCACGCCCCGCGTATGGTCTGGAGGTTGCAGAGTTTACACTGGTGCAACTATTTTGTTGGGATTCTATTTCCTTTCCTTTTTAATCAAGCTACTCTAGCACAGTCCTTGGGGGAGACAATGGCACTCTGATAAGAAGCGGGACCTGCACAGGCAGCTTCTTCCTCCTATACACAGAGATGACAGAATCCCAGGATGGCAGGGGTTGGCAGGGACCTCCGGAGATCCCCCAGTCCCACCCCCCT